GGAGGGGAGAGCCGAGGAACTGAGGGGTCAGAGTTTTGGAAAGACCGTCTACATGGAGAGACATCCCCAGTGATTATAATATCGAATGATGGTGAGGCAGAGCTGAAATCTGTAGGGAGTGACCCCAGGGGTCCGGAAGTGACTGCAGGCAGGAGAGGGGGTGGTTCACAGCATGGACGTTCAAGGTGAGGAGGGTTGGGTGAACACCGCCTCCACCGCCGGGCCAGCAGTCCAAGAGCTGTGGCTGAGAAAAGAGGTCACAGAAGCAGCAGCACGATCCCCAGGGAGAACCTTTCTTGTGAACAAGTTGGGGGGCAGAATACCTGAGAAACGCTTGTGGGGAATATGGAGATTTGCTGGTGGCTGTGATGTCCAAGGGGCCTAGTGGAAGAGACTGCGGAACCTGGGTGGAAGCAGGAGAGTGTAAGGGACGAAGTCACAGGGGCGCCTGGGTGTCTCAGTCGGTGAAGCGTCCGACTTCGGCTCAGGTCACGATCTCACGGTTCATGGGTTCGAGCCCCGCGTGTGTCCTTCAGATCCTGTGTCCCGCTTTCTCTGCCCCTCCCTCACTCATGCTCTCGCTCTCTCTGTCTCTCAAAAGTAAATAAAAACATTAAAAAGAGGGAGAGAGAGATGAGGTCATAGACTAACATGTACTAACCTGACCGGATGAGAGTCTAGGAAGTGACATGCTCAGGAGCCCATCTGTGGTCACGGAGATAAGCCTAAGGATAGAAGGATAAAAGGCTTGATAGTCTCGAGGCGTGGGGGTGTTGAGGTCACACATATTGGTAAGGGTTCTTACTAGGAACCCACAGAGTTCTGGGGCCCCCCCTTCAGGCTCCGTCCTCACTGCTGCCAGGGGAAGCACAAAGCAGAAAAGGGCTCACGTGGAGCATCCCTTGTCGATTCGTGGGGCACGACGTAGAGGTTACTAATCTTCATGACCCGGGTACCGTGCACTGATTGGCTCGGGGCTGCTGTATTGTTTATCCCCACGTAACAAATTACCTCAAAACTTAGGGCTTCAAGTAGCATTTATTGTCTGGCATTTTCCCCTGGATGAGGACTCCAGGCAGGCACAATTTGTTGAGTCCCTCGTCTCAGGGTCTCTCCAAGGCTGCGATTAAGGTATTAGCAGCCGCTCAAATCCTTTTGAGGCTCAGTTGGGGGTTGGTCCCCTTCCAAGTTCACTCAAGTAGTTGTTGGCAGGACTTAGGTCCTCACTAACTTTGGCCAGAGGCCCTCTAGGTTCCCTGACACATTTGCCTCTCTATAGGGCAGCTCCTACATGACAGGTAGCTTCATCAGCAAGAGAGAGAGACAGAGAGAGAGAGCTTGCAAGACAGAAGCAGGGGAGGGGGTCACACAAGGGTATGAGGACCAGGAAGCAGGACTCATTGCAGTGCCAGAAAGTTGCCCATCCCCAAACTAACCACAGATAACAAAGAGATTGAAACTGGCTTGGACCAGTCAGGCTCTACCCCCCCTTTCCTCCCCCGCTGGAGCTAGAGTCAGGTCCTCGAATCACAAGGCCACACAGAGTAGCAGGGAAGGGCAGAGGATAGAGTAAATCTTGGGAGGACACCTGCCACGGTCACCATAACCACCATGTCCATGCTTTTCTTCTTCGGGCTCTGGACCCGCTTTCTTTAGCAGAGGGCCAGCAGAGGGCCAGCTACTCTTGCCCTCGAGATCGAATCCAGACTCCTTACTGCAGCACGCAGTGGCCTTCGCACTCTGGCCCCAGTTTATCTTTCCGGCTTCATCTCTCACCATTTACTCTCATTTCTTCAAAGCCAGGGGTTCGCCAAACTTTTTGGTCTCAGGACCCCCTTAATACTCTTGGAAGCAATTGAGGGCCCCAAGAGTTTTTGTTACAACCATGGATATTTATTGAATCAGGAATAAAAACAAATTTTAAAATGTTAATTTAAAAAATTTATTCATTATAAAAAATACTCATTATTTAACATAAATAACACATTTTTATGAAAAAGAACATGTTTCAGAAAGTGTTTTGTTTTGAGAAAAATGACATTGTTTTACATTTTCTTTTTTAGTTTTTATTGAATTTTTAGTACTCTCTATACCCATGGGGCTCAAACTCATGGCCCTGAGATCAACAGTTGCACACTCTACCGAGTGTGCCCCCCACGTTGTTTTACATTTTTAAAAATGTCTTTGTTTGGCTTAATAGAAAGGGCTCTTACATCTGTCTCTGTACTCAGTCTCTTGCAATATGTTGTTTCAGTTGAGGTATATGAAGGAGCTGTGGCCTCACACAGACATGTAGTTGAAAGTGGAGATACGAGTGAGTATCTTAATAGTTTCTCCAGACCATTGCGAATATTCTTTGGTATTAGACCAGCTCTGTAAGTGGTAGTTTCTTAAAGGTTAGTTGCAGTGTGGAATCTGAACTTTTCTGTATTCTGTTAGTTTAAAATCCATTGGACAGTCTGGCACTTTGAATGACTTTTACCCATTTGGAAAATGCTGGTTTCCTGCATTATTTGGGTCTTCCAAATATTTCATCATGAAGTATTTTTAATCACATTTTTTAATATTTATTAATTTTGAGAGAGAGAGTGAGCGTGCGCACGGACTGGGGAGGGGCAGAGAGGGAGGGAGAGAGAGATTCCCAAGCGGTCTCTACACTGTCATCTCAGAGCCCTACTCAGGGCTTGAACTCACAGCCCATGAGATCATGACCTGAGCCGAAATCAAGAGTCAGATGCTCAACTGACTAAGCTCCCCAGGCGCCCACAATCACGTTTTTAAATATCAAGTATATCTTGTCAGAAAAACCTTCACTGGGAAATTTTGATCATGGAGGATGTAAGTTTTCCAGAATTCTAAGTTTCACTTGAAAGTTTGAATGTTATTGTTGGCAACAAATACTGCCACTTGTCTTCCTTGATGTAATAGGCTCATTTCATTTATTTCTGACAGAGTGTCTGAATAACCATAGTTTATCTGCCATCATTTTTTCAAGTGAAAATGGTGCTCCAGGGAAAGATCCTATGACTTATACTGTCTCCTAACTTCTGCTGTGTTTGGGCTGTCCTTCAGCGTTGCCTCCACCCTGCAGCCTCTTAATGTGCCTCGAATTCAGATGCCTCAAGAGAGAATCTGATTGGAGTAGTCAGCCATTGTCTGCTGAGGGTGGCTTGGCACAGAGCACGGTAGCCAGCACATAAGGAACCACTTCCGGCTGCTTCCCCAGAGACTTCCTGTCTAGTCAACACCCCGAGCTCCATGCCCAGAACGTACCATTATGATTAGCAAGATTTTTTTTTTTTTTTTTTTGACAGAGAGCGAGAGAGTGAGCGTGCACAAGTGGGGAGGGGTGGGTAATGGGGAGAGGGAGAGAGAGAATCTTAAGCAGGCTCCATGCCCAGCACAGAGCCAGACATGGGGCTTGATCCTAGGACCCTGAGATCATGAACTGAGCTGGAATCAAGAATTGGACACTTAAGCCCACTGAGCCACCACCCAGGTGCTCTAGCAAGATACTTTTTTGATGCACAGATGCAAATAGAGTGATTATGGTATGAGAAATTTTTAAACATGGATTCATAATTTGCTTTTAAGCACTTATTTGACAGCACCTTGTTTAAAGACCAAAAAATTCCCCAGGTCCTTAAAGTTGTGGTTATATTCTGGTACCACTGCTACTTTGTTTCGGGCATGAATTCTATTCTGATGCTGCTGTGGGACCATCTGTTCCAAAAATGTTTTTCAATGTGGATTGAGTAGTTGTTACTATGAATTTTCTACCAATGTAAACATAGATTTTATTGCTTTTCACATTGACATTAATAAAAAGACACTGTTAAATAAATGTCTTCGGTTAACAATTTTTCATTGCTTAAAATGGGTGTCTTCCTCCTTCACAAAGGAGGAAAATCCTCCAAAGGCTATAAGTATAATGTATCTAGTATTTTTGTCAATAAATAATTAGGAGTGACCAGTCCCTGTATTTTGCAAGTTCACAGATTTTAAGTAGACTTTTAATATTTTCTTAAAGTTGGCTGTCTCCTTCTGGTAGGAGCAGAGCAGGCCAAGAGAACTAATGTCTGGGATCTTGAGGTTTAGTACCTTTTCCTCTTTACTGATACGCGGTATAACGAACACATAGATTTCGGCTGTATACTTGAGAACATACCCATGAGTGAGCGCACTCCTTGCTCACAAGCAAGTTTGTTCACTCAGTGAAGGAAAAAGAATGGAAGCAAGGTGTTTTAGGAAAAATATTGGGGCCTGAGTTCCCTCTTTCGTTCATCCCTTGGGAGCATTACGAGGGGGTTAATGTATTTGGGTTAATGATGAAGAAAACAAAAATAGCCTCCCTATGAGGAAATGTAACCTGACACAATTTAAACTAGGACCCAGATTGAAACATCATTCTTTTAGGAAGTGGAAATATTTTGTCACACAGATGTGCCATCTAAATTTTAAAAGAAATCTCGACTTCCTTTCTCTTCATACGTCTTGATTCTGTTAACACTCGTTATTTCTTCCAGCCGCGTGTCCCAAGTAATTAAGTTATAATACATGATAATTTGCATACATTCCAAATGCTTATTACCTTTCTAACACTACAGTCCTCACAAAGATGGGTTATCTCAATTTCTCCATGGACTTTACCCCAGCAATACACGTTGTCCTGAGTTGTATAGAGTGCACACCACTCTGGGCCCTGCCAAACAGTAGACAACGTGTGTTGTTTCCTTTTTTTTTTTTTTTTTTTTTTTTTTTTTTTTTTTTTTTTCAGCGGGGCACTAAACATGCCCCAGCGCTTCCTCCAGGTTATCGAACTGACAGGTAGTAGGAAGCAAAGCCTCACGGGCTGTTCTTGCTAAGTATTATTTCCACTGCAGTACAGATTAAAATCTCAGAAAATCCCAGCTATGTACTTTATAGGTATGGATCGCTTTTATTGTTCATATCCTAAGTCATCTAAAGGCTTGTTTTCTTTCTTTTTTTTTTTTTTACAGACCTAACTACCATAACGAATGCTGCATATTAAGAGAAACCACAAGAAGGTTACACACTTGGTTGTCTAATAATCTCGGATTTGATATGAACCAACACATACTCCTTGTTGTCATTGACAGAGCCCCAGTTTGTATGTACATTATTCACACTCCTCTCTGTTGTGTTTGGGGGAAAAAAAGACATTTTAGCCTTTTTTAAGGTTATTTGATTTCATGTTATTTGGTTGCATGAAGTTGCCCTTAACCACTAAGGATTATCAAGATTTTTGCACAAACTTCTACATGTCTAGGATCCTTTTATCAAGGTGGCTGTGTTCACCATTCTCCTGCCTTGACTCCACTATCACCAGAGGCTCAGTTAAAGATAAATTAGCATTTTCTTAAAACGACCACTCCACATAATGCTTAAGGGATTTCTTCTCTGTGACAGAACCCAGGAACCGGTTCCTAAACACATAACGTTGGCATATTGAAGATAAAATTGAAATTGTCCTTCAGTTTTGAGGCCATGTGTAAAGTTTAACCATATTGTAAAATATCTATTCCGTATTAGAAATAGCTAGTCAACAGCTTATACTTCTCAAAACTCATACTGTTATGTACACAAACTCAGTTTTTATATGTGAAGTTAGTGAGTCCTTTTGTGTTATTCCAAAATAAAGGCAAGGATTTATTTTTTCCCAATGCCAGTACAATTTGAGCTAATCACTCAAGGGTGGATACTTTACATTTTAAAGCTGGAATCAGCAGTAGCCCTATGGGAAACCAGACAAAGCATTGACTTTTAAATGAACCATTGTTTTCTTTTGGAGCTAGAGTTAGAATAGTTGATACTCATCCACAAACCATTATTACGTGTACATTATTGTTGCTATTGTGAGAATAGAGAATTTTATTTATTTTTCTGCCAGCTTATATTGTGAGAGCTCATTTGGTCAGTTTGGGTTTCACCAATCCTGTTATGCTTGTCCTTGGACCACCTTTCGCGTATTCGAGGTTTGTAGTTGAAAAGTTTACTGTAAAAAAAAAAATCAAAAACAAAAAAATGTATTGTTTTTACAGAATAAATTTATTGGAATGTGTACTGGGAGTAAGATTTGAGGTTGTAAACAACTACGTTAGTGTAATTTGGCTTTATATATGTAATGTGAGGTATTAATGTAATTCGTATATTAAAGCAAAAATTGTTAACAGCAAGTTGACAAGAGAATCAAGTGCAGGTGAGGGTTTTCTTTTTTTTTCTTTTCCTTTTTTTTTTTCTTTTTTTTGAACATCGGGGTTTTAGGTTTTTTGTAAACATGGGGGAGGGAGAGGAATGGCTACATGATGGCTTGCACGTCTCAGATACTATTTACCAGCTCAGTGGACCCTAAATGCGCACACTTGACATTATCCATGCGTTGACTTGGACTCTGTTTTCTTTTTGTTTTCTTATTTTGGTGAAGAGCTAAATAAATAACATGAAGAGAAAATGTGAGAAGTTCTAAGAGCCCAGGGCCATTGACGATGGTGGTGGTGATGGGATTACGATTATGGCAGCCAAGGGTATGAAAGCACCAGTCTACCTACCCCTCTAAGGCTCTGAGAAGGCGGCTAGTATTTCTGGTTTGTTTCTCTCATGTAGCAAATTGTAATTTTTCTCTATACTCATCATTCCAGATATGAAAAGTTCATTAAAAGATACTAGGGATGCCAATCCAGTTCTTTTTCCTTGAAGAGTACTTCTTAACTTTGAATATTTTACTTTAATTGTAAATTAGTGAAATGTAATCAGTTCCTCAAAAGTCCTGTTCATTGCTCACACTAAAGCATAAGGAGAATGTAGCTGACATTTTGAATTGGAACATGTAACTGACAGATTTTTAGAATAAAAATCCTAAAGACTACAAAACTGCTTTTGGAAAAAAAATACAAAATGTTTCAAATTCGTTAAGATTTGTTTTCATAAAAGGCCAAAAATAATTTATTAAAAATATACACAGAAATACAATAAAAATATTTCCAGTCACCGATAAAACAGGTATTCATTAAGGGTACTGATAAAGTCACCGATCCCTCCTTAGCCATTTAGACTCACAAAAAATTTTTTATTAAAAGCAGTGTTTATAACAGCAGTGAATAATATACTTTCCTTGGGAAAACATTTGTCAAATAACATTTTAAAATAATGTGATAATTTGCTTTTTATATTGAGGTTGATAATGATGCATATATATCTTATATGCAAAAAGTATTTCTCCTGAATGTATCTGCTGTTCTAAATTCCTTAATATGCACAGGCCATATTCACTTCTGAATAGTTTCATTTTCGTGCTCACTATTGTAGGAGCTAAATTGTATATGTTTACAGTTATATTTAATATGTGCAGACAGAATATTGAAATAGATGGTCAAGTTACTCACAAATAATTTTGAATAGATTTCTTTAAACTGTTTCTCAACTTCACTTATCCTTCAAGAGAAGAAAATTTACCCACACAATACCGTGTGAGAGCTCACACATAACAGTGCGGAGCCCGAATTTACGTATTTTTAAGTGTTGCTGTGTGGGAGGGGAGTAAAATGGGACAGAAGATCAGTACCAGGAATAAAAGTCAGTCATGTAGAGAGGAAGAAATAGTACTTTTATTCAACTTTGTCATCTGCCTTTGTTTTTATAAAGAACTCTGGTTTGTAGATACAACGATAGGCCAAGAGCTGAGGAAGAACTCCATATGCTATGTTTAACGCTAGAAAGAGGCTTTTCGCTTCTTCAGGGACTCTGTAGACATAAGCGGTTCTAGCATGAAGAGAAGCACCGATGTGAGAAAACTGAGCCTGTTGCATTTAAAAAAAAGGGGGGGAGGTCAGCATGAGCTCTGTGTTCAGTCGGATTCACAACGTGTTCCGGACGATTCATTCAGACCATGTTTCCTGTGCCCTCAAAACCAGTACTTTCAAACAATCCACAGTCTTCAGGATTTCACTGAATTCAGGACCAGTCTTAATGTAACGACTCAAAGTATACCTTCCTTAGCTTGGCTTTATCATGCCATGCAGTGCCCCTTACCCAACATTAGTGGCTCAATGTAAAAGAAAAACTGAACAAAATCTCCGTTTTGTTTTTTGGTTTTTTTCCCCCTGATTTGCATTCTGGAGATCCTAAACACTCAGGCACTCAGTTGTGGCTTACTAAGTGTGTTCGGCAAAAATGAAGGAAGTACAGAGCTTAGAAAGCAAAAATATTTTTATATAGCCATTTAAAGAGAAGCAATGGGGACCTCAGCTTCATTAATCAGTCTTTTCACCTATTCCTTGGAACAAGAGCCCAAAGCCCTTCATTACATGTTTTTTGTTTACTTCTTCACGTTTTTGTTGCTTATGCAACTTTAAAAACTACTAAGGGTTGTTTTGTCGGTAAGGTTGTTACCAACGTGGGTGAGGGTAGGATTATGGTTGCTCTTCATAAAATGGCATGTGTACATGCAGGCGACCTCTTCATATCAAGTTCTCCTTTATTTAGTACAGCTTGTCACCATAACCTGAGACCAGTTTCCCATTTGTACTTAAGTACTTGTTCATAACATACATTCAGAATGTATCTTGTTTGATACTTTTCATAAGCACAGGGAAAAACTGTATTAGAAAACGCTTCTGTGTGAGGATTTCCTCAGCATTCTCATGTCCTTACAGAACACAACCCTGCAGTGTGTGTTTTCATATCTTACTGAAATCCACGCTGTACGTGAATAAAGGACTGGAAATCTAAATATAAGAAGTGATGAATTATTAGTTCATCAGGATCAAAGTGGAAAGAAGTCACAGAATCCAAGAATGAAAAACTAAATAATTCGCTTTAAATACATACAAGCTATCTTACATTTCCTTCCGTATGAAACCAGTTTATTCTGCGAAGTGGTTAACAGACAAAATTCGGCTTTTCCATGACAAATAAAGGATGAGCTTTCACAAGTGGCACTTGTATGGATTTGTGTCCATTGCAGGTATTTTAACAGATTGCTGCTACGTCCTGGGACCTCTGGTACAGTCTCGCTACTCTCTGGAGATAAGCGGTCAGTGTGATGTGTCGCAAGGACCACAGAAATAGCCTGTGTACGCCCTCCGCCTCGTGCTCCACGAGGCTCGGCAAGGGCTCTGCCCTCAAGCACGCGTCCCCCAGAGCAGGTGCCGAGCAGAGCCCAGCAGATGGGAAGCGTCCCATCTGCTGGGCTCTGAAGACAAGACCTGGAGAGTCCGGGGCCTTCGAGAGGCTGCCCGGGGGGCTGCTCTTGTACAGTCTTGGGAACACGGAGCAGGAGCGTGGCCCCTGTCGTTAACCCTACTTTTCCCTAGAGCCTCTTCTGAACAGCAGTGATTTTCTGAATTAATATAACCAAACTTCTGGACTAGGGGCCAGGTTTGAACCTTGATTTTCAAAAATGTGGGTTTGGTGTCTCTATAGACACATGTACTACGTCACAAAAGTCACCACGTTCGGGGAAGTGCCGACCGTTCTTTGAGAGACTGAGTGATACGAGCAGTCGTACCTACTTGCACAGGGGAACCTGCACCAAGTCAGTGATTCCGTAGGCTCTCTTCCTGCACTGACCAGTGCAGTTAATACCTCATTTTCAAAATCAGCAAAAATCATTGGCAGCATTCCAAAATGGTCATGTCCTTAGAGTAGACTGTAAGCCCACCGGGCAGGTACTGTGTCTAATGTTTTGTGTGGCGCCTCTCGCATTGTTAGAGCTCAATAAACGTTAATCAATAATGGTCTTGTGACTGTCAAAATACAAACAGCTTCCGCAAAGCATTTCTCTATTTTTATACCTATTTCCGTAGGCCTCCTTTCTCCAGAATCCTCTAACGAGGGCCCAAGCCCAGAGCCCAGTGTTGTGCAGTTTCTAATGGGTGTGTTGCTGGTGGCCACGCCTTTCCGCTGAGTGAGCACCCAGCCACAGCTTCCTCCCCACGCACACGGTGTCCAGTGCCCGGCTTCTGAAGTTTCAGAGAAACCTCAGCCTCCCCTGAGGACAGTTTCCTTCCTAAGCACGGGGCTGCTAAGGGCCTGCACGGTGTCTCGTGGGTCCTGTTCCCGCCGGCACACAAGGCCTCCTGACGGCAGGACTCAGAGCTCAGCCGGGCACCTGGTGCTGGGTCGGTGGCTCAGTTGGCCTGGGGCTGCTGAACCGATTGTCACCCAGGGTGACAGGTGCAACCTGGAGAGCCCAGAAATGTCTGCAGAATTCAGTGATGTGAGGTGGAGTCTCTCATCATCTTTCTTATCATTCTAAATCTGTTTTCACCTCGAACGAATTTAAAAGATCTGCTTTGACTTTTTTTTTTAAAGAAATGGATGATTGGGATGGAAAACGAGGCAATAAAGGCAAAGAACGGTTACATTTTAATAGCTCTCTTTTCTTATATTTATAGAGACAGCCTGGAAAGGATGACTAAAAAGTCACAATCTCGGTTCCAGAAGGAAGAGCTGAAAGTATTATGTGTCCACATGAGTATCACAGGCCAAAACTAATGTGAACATTGGGGCAACAGCCAGGCTATTTGGCCGATACAGCAGAAGTAGCTAATCCAGAACTGTGTTATTTTTTAGGGTTTTCTGAGCAGCACAGTCCAGTGGTTAAGAATTCTGAATCTGGAACCATACAGAGTGCCCAGTCCCAGCTGTACCACAAGCCAGCAGTATGACCCTGGGTTAGGTATGTAACCTCTCTGGCTTCCTCATCTGTAAAAGTAGGATAATAAGGGCACGTTGCTGTGCCGGTGCAATGAGATGATCTTTGTGAAGTGCTTAGGAGAGTGGCAGGTGAATTCCCTGCCCATGACCTGGGGTTCTGCTTGGCTGAGAACTCAGGTGGGCTCTTCGTTTTCAGATCCCCTTGCTGACCTGCTGACAATTTTAAGACTGTCTCCACCAAAGGATAATCATGTGAAGACTTTACACCCAAAGTCTAACCTCGATACTAATTAAAGATGTATCGTGATGAATTACACTGGAAGCAAATTATTAAATAGGACTTGCATTAGTATCCCAGCTATCCACATGCTTCCTAAATCTTTTAGATATTTCCTAAAGGTTTCCATGGGGGGGGGGGGGGGGGGGGACAAAATTCGCCTCCAGCAGAGTCAACTCTACAAACCATATTATCCACAGATAAGCTTCCAGACCCTCGTGTGAGGAGGTCCGTGGCACCCGCATGGCCGGGGAGTCTGCGCAACAAGCGGGAAGGGCCTGGCTGAAGCAGGGCTGTTGTGTTTCCATGGGTGTTGCTGGGTGCGTGACAGGCTCCCTGCCAGGCCTGCCGTGAGTCTGTCCCAGGGCTTCCTCCCAGCATCCTTGATGCTTAGGTAATAATGTCCACACATTACCATTTAGGTACTAACATCCACAGATGGCCACAGATTAATGAATGAATCTTCTGAGCAGCACAAGGCATTTCTAGACTCCTACTGGGAATCTTCTACCAATAAGAGGAGGAGCACCAAAAATCTGCAGCTCATTCTGTGCCAGGCACCGTTCTAAGCCTCTTACATGTATTATTACCTCACGTGATCCTCAGCAGCTCTATGACAAAGGTCCTGTATGATCCTAACTTTACAGAAGAGGAAACCGAGGTAGCCAAGGTCACGAGCCCATCAGTGACAGTCTGAGCAATGAGCCAGTCTGTCTCCAGAGCTCATGCTCTTAACCATCTTGACTATATTGGCTCTGATTGTTTTCTTTTAATTTCCAGTGATATTTTAGCAGAGAACAATTGTTCAGTTGCTAGAAAGTACTAATATATAAGTGGGTCTGAGCAGCCTATTTCAAACTAGATTTGCAACTTTAATCCTACGTAAGAATTTTATATGAAGAGACACTTGGGTTCTGAATAAGTCCCCACTGGAACTCTTTGGTGTAAAAAATGTGTCGTGGTTTGATTTGATTTTATTTTCTTTTACTTTCTGATGGATATTTCAATTTCTGAAGGCAGGAGATTTGGCAGATTCCTCCATGATCTGAAGGCAGGGGCTCAATAACTAACATGTTTTTCACTGACTTGTACTGACCTAGGAATTTTTCAAAGATTTGTTTTCCTTATTAAATCACATAGACTCCTGGGAGTTCACTAGGCCTTTCAAGAAATGCAGGTTTTGATCAAGTTAGGGGGTTGGGAATGCACAAAACCCCTAAATGAGGAATGGTCGTTTTAGCAAGCTAGGGATGTTAGTCGGGGTTATGGAGGGTGTTTTCTGTGATGAATGTGTCACCCTCCCAAGGCGAGAATTCATTTCATGAGCAAGTATTGGCTAGGTAGGAAACAAATCACGTAACAAATTCAGCATTCTCATCGCGTGCACTGTTGTGTTATGATTTGTAACTGTTCCTTAGGCTGAGCTCTCTGAATATGTAAATACTAAAGCCAAGCCAAGAGTCATGGAAATGTCAGACACAACAGTTCTCGGATGCCAGCATTCTACTGGGTTGGGAGAAACATCCTTCTGACATTGACAGGATCTAGTCTGTAGCCTCCAGCTGCCTTGTCCGAGTGGGCAGTGACGGATGAGCCCAAGGGCTCCTGCGAGGCCTGGGGGTCTGGCTGAAGCTGCTGACTGCGGCCCGGGGCTCTGCCATCCACACTGCCCTTCCCAGAACCACCCGGCTGGAGTCGCGGGTGCCTGTCTGCAAGCTTAGCCCTCCCCAGCAGGTACAACCCAGGGTTAGCCCTAGTGCCCCAGGTTCAAGCACCCACTTGCCCCCAAGGTATGACCTTCCCAAGCCTCTTGACTGCTGACTGCCCACGTGACTGGGCCTTGACCTACTTTTCCTGCCTCTTCCTCCACTTGTCTCCCGAGACTTGACTGGGTCCTACACCTGGCTTCCCTTTGTCAGCCTCCTAGATGATGACACCCTGTGTTCCTGCGGCGGGGGGCAGACCAAGCAAGGCACAGGACACACAGAGGAAATCCGATCGTGTCCAACCCTGAGCAAGCTGATGATCCTCGAAGAGAGGGGGCCGGTAAGAGTGAGCTGAGCGGGAGCCCTCTCCGGGGGAACTCAGGAGAACGCAGCCAAGAAAACCCAGGCCAGGGCTCACCCTGCCCTCTGGCCTGCTGCACCCCTGCCCAGCCTGACAGCCCACAGAGCCCACTCACGTGTGACTGCCCCCCCCCCCCGAGGCTCTCCAGCGCCTCCGTGCCCATATGAAGTCTTGCCTTGTGCTCACTGCTTGAGCCATGCCACTACCATGGCTCGCTGCTTGCAGGAGAAGAGAGAGAACAGTAGAGAAGAAGATGGGCTTTGGGGTCAGACAGGATTCCGTGCCCCTATTCCCCTATTCTGCCTGCCGTTTAGTAACTGTGACCCAGGCGAGTAACAAGCTGTCCTCAGCCTCAGCTCTCTTAGCTTTTAAGAAATCTGCAGGGAGGATGCTGTGTGTTCACTGCACGGTTCCAGGGCACGGGCACACGGGAGTGCTGTGGGTTCACTGCACGGTTCCAGGGCACGGGCACACAGGAAGACCGCCTCTGTCTGCTTCCGTTGCAGCCGAGGTGGTGCCAGACCTGGCTGTGGAAACTCTCCCACATGATCATCTTTGCACAAGCAAGAAATAAAACTTTAGTGTGTTAAGCCACTGAGTATTTGCTACCCCGGCAGAGCGCACAGCCTGTCCCTACCCAAGTAGGTAAGTAGAGCACAGCCTGCTTTGCCTCACCCAAGTTAGAGGAGAGCTCAGACCAGTGCAGGGCAGTGGGCTGGAACTCACTGGGGTTTGAGGGTTACTCTGGAGACAGGACCAATGACCTAGTGATGGGCTAGAAGGTAGGGGTGAGGGAATGGGAAGGAGCTGCTGAAAGCGGGGGAGGATCTGTTTGCAGGCTGCGGTGGGGAGACAGCGGGTGTAGGAGGGTCAAGAGTCCTGTTGCATTTAGACACTAACTCCGAGATAGCCGCGTGAAAACACGGAGTTTGGGATTAGGTATAGGAGTCTGGGGACAGCTGGAGCTAAAGACAGAAAATTGGAAGTCAGCTTATAGTATTGAAAGATATGGAAATAAAGACCTCTTCAGAGGTCTGCTAAGAGGGTAAATCTTGGTTCTCTTCCCCTTCAGTCCTCCAAGGAAAGAACAGGAACCCTTGCTCTGGATGCTGCATCAGCTTTTTTGATACTAATATTCTAATTCTGTAATTAAGAATTACCTCAGGGGTGTCTGGGTGGCTCAGTCAGTTAAGTGTCCAACTTCAGCTCAGGTCATGATCTCGCAGTTGATTCGTGGGTTTTAAGAAAATTTTTTTAAAGACCTCAGACTGGAAGGATTTAGCCCAAAGGATTAACCCATAAATACCGTAGCTGTTTTTCCACCCTGTAAATTCTAAAGTGTTCTTTTGCCATCCCAGTTACTATAACCAGGAGCATAATTAGCCATACATGCTGACAGTTTCCGGATGAACCTCATTCTTAGGCCAGCTTGAAAAGAGCAAGATGCAGAGAATGATTTTAAAAAGATGAATTCGTTTGTTATTGTTTTTATTTATAGTAAGGGGGGGGAGATAAAATCATTTAATAATTTTCTTCCTTGTTCCTAAGATCAGTTTGTTTTGCTAGTTATCTTGTAAAAATGTGCTTTGTATAATAATACAATTTCCTAGATAAATTTATTCCAGTTCAATGAAATAAGCATTCACTCTAGGGCAGGGACTTGGCTAAGTCGCAAGAGGAAAGAATGGAACTTTCTCCAAACCCATTTCCCTGGTTCGGGATACCGTCCTGTAACAGAATTCTGAAGTCTTAACTTTAGATAGGCATCTTAAAGATAACAGCTCTCAAGTATTTTTGTTCAGAGCCTGGGGAAGGGTCCTGGAAGGCTGTGGTGGCACCTGCTGGGTATGTGACCTTGGACAAATCATGTAACCTCACTGGGCCTCAGTTTCCTCATCTGTATAACTGGATGGCACAGCAACCATCACATATCTAGTTACTGTGAGATTTAAATAAAATGCACGTGCAGAAACGTCTTCCAAAGAACCATAAAACGAAAGGGGATGTGTCTAGTAACTATTTCCTACTCCTTAAACACCAAGCAGAGATGTTTTGCAGATACTCAACAATGACAGCCAAATCCCCAGCGAACTTTCTTAATAGAGCGTGTTTTGGGTACCTGGGCTAGACCTCCAGCATGTATCAGTGTCACGTCAGGCATCCAGGAACATCCAGGAACCACTAAGCCGTAAAGCGCAATCACAAAGTAAGGAACAGAATAGAACAGGTATGCCAGCATCTGTGTTGAACAGAGAAAGAACACCGTCAGCAAAGTAACAGTTAACCGCACACGACGAAAAGTACAAGAGATTGAACGTTTCTAATTCCCATCTCCTACGTGGATCCACATGCTCCCATTCTTCTTTGTTTTTCTTTTTAATGTTTGTTCATTTTTGAGAGGAAGAGAGAGAGCGGAGGAGGGGCAGAGAGAGGAGACACAGAATCCGAAGCAGGCTTCAGGCTCTGAGCTGTCAGCACAGAGCCCGATGAGGGGCTTGAACCCATGAACTGTGAGATCATGACCTGAACCCAAGTCGGATATTTAACCAACTGAGCCACTCGGGTGCCCCCACATGTCCCCATTCTTCAAGAAAGAAAATTAACATTAGAAAAATCTGAGGCTTGGGGCGCCTGGGTGGCTCAGTCGGTTAAAGCATCCAACTTCAGCTCAGGTCATGATCTCACAGTCCGTGAGTTTGAGCCCCACGTCAGGCTCTGTGCTGACAGTTCGGAGCCTGGAGCCTGCTTCAGATTCTGTGTCTCCCTCTCTCTCTGCCCTTCCCCTGCTCGTGCTCTGTCTCTCTCTGTCTCAAAAATAAATAAAAACATTAAAAAATTTTTTTCTTTTAAAAAGAAAAAGAAAAATCTGAGGCTTCATAACTACTTGACCTGGATTTTAGGATAAGCAGCAGGATCCTTTAGATAGGGCTCTTGAAATTGTGTATAAAATCGGCAGAGCTCAGCTGGGCAATCCAAAGCAATCTGAGAAGAAAAACGAATTAATTATAAAGTCATACTCCCATCTGATTCTTATGGTTTGCTGATAAGGCTAAACGTTCCAAGTACAGCCACAAGCTGTTCAACAAAAACTGTGTGTTGTAGAAGGTCATCAGTAAAAGGGAACGAAAAGAAAGTCTACAGATCTACTCTGAGGACGTGAAGGAGAGTTAGGAGAGGAGCAGGAAATGGCTAATGCTCTGTTCTTGCTACCTTCTGAGGACTCAGCTTAAGGATCTAGACTTCAGCAGCCAAAGCACAGCTCACGCTGGATTACCAGTTTCACTTCCTGGAAATCACTAGCCCACTCTTAAGAAAAGCCCATTCGTGTTCACACCAAATTCATCTTACTGTGCTTTGCAATATTCTAAAAATAGCATCCTCCTCCCTCCAGCAAGTGCCTCAGAGTATATGGCCTTTAGGGGCAGTAAAGGATAAGGATTTAAAAGCAGAGTCCTGTGTGAAGCCACATCGTGTGTCCACTTTGAAAGGAAACACAGAACAAAGTGTCTCTGGCACATTACGGGGTCCCCTCTGAGTCACTGCCCTCATGCATCGCCCCTCCCGTCCGCAGCCATGAATGTTGTCCCACCTAGATCACATCCATGGACACAGACCAGTGGCAGAGTTGGTAAAAATGGACCCCAATTTAAAAGCCCGTCTGCCTAAGCCCCGCCCACCGAGTGTGCAAACACCCACATGCACACATTTTTCTCCTGTGTGAGAACAGCTGGGGCTCGTTTTGTTGTTCCTGTGTTTCTTTTCACATTGGGAACGACAGCAAACTAAAGAACAGTTTTGGGGGTGCCTGGCTGGCTCAGTCGGTAGAGTTTGCGACTGTTGATCTTGGGGTCGTGAGTTCACGCCCCACATTGGGCATGGAGATTACTGCAGAAAAAAACCAAAAGTTTAACTGCTCTGTGGTCTGAGTAAAGCCTTGCTTCTTTGCATTTCTTCCCTGGGCCACTCCTCCCGTCAGCAGATGCTACTGCAGGAAATGTCTGCTCTCCTGATAGAGACAGCTCTTAAGACAGCCTCTCGCGCTGATCCCAGCCAGCAGCACAGGACCCCAAGACAGTCAATCAGCTACAGCAGCTCACACTTGGCTCCCCAACTGTTGTGCAATGCCAGCAGCCTTAGGGCAGTAACTGCCACTGACGATGCGTATAATTATCCGTATCATTCCGGCCACTTTTATTTCTTTCTGCTAAAAACAAATCACGAAACTGGGGCATCACCAAGGATCATCTATTGATAAAAAGAGTAACACCAACCGTTTCCTGAACACTTACCACGTATAGGGTCCTCTGTACGTGTTTTGATGTCTATTATCTTATTTAATCTTCAACCCAATACCATTAGGTAGGTATTGTTATTTTATAGCGAAAGGAACTGAGGTCAAGGACCCTAAGTCATTTTCCGAAGGCCATACAGCAGGTAAATAGCCAAGATTCTAACTCCTTCTAGGGACCTTCCTCAATCCCTGAGAACACAGCCTTACCGGACTCTTCAGGTATCACCCTTCCCAAAGACATTTACATCAGAATCAGAAACATTCAAACCAAAAGAATGAAACTCTAATGGCTAATTTTTCAGGCACCCTAAAACGGGGGAAGGAAGAGACCCCTGGGTGGGGCTTAATCCAGGGACCCGAAGGAGGTGGCATCCAGGGACCAGGCAGGGGCCACCCTGGAGGGAGGAAGGCCTGGGGGTGACCCCCACAGGTGGGAGTGGCAGCAAGCAGGGTCAGGCCTCCAGGCTCTAGAAAGTCTGATTAAATATGTATTTCTCTCTCTTTTTTTTAATGTTACTTTGATCTGTTACACTTACCAAGCCTCTGAACAGACAGAATCCAGTTGCCAGGAGGAGACACACGACCAGCATTAAATCAAATGGTCTTCTCAGCAGGTCCTTTGCTTGCACTTCTTGAACGACCTAAAATAGAGTTTGTAACCCATGAGCAGGCCCAAAGCGCCAAGAAAGAGTCTGAGGTCTACTGAAGCAGGAGGGCTGAGATGCTGGACAGGGAGGGATTCATATCCTAAACCACTAGGCACGTAAGTTAGGAAAATCATGTTCCTCCTCTCAGCTTCCAGATTACTCATCTGTGAAATGAGGAGATTGGGCCAGGTCACCTTGAAGTTTCCTTCTAACTCTAGGAGTCCTTAAAGTTTTCTTGAGATAGCAGTTTTGTGATTATCATTATATGAGATACGGTCATTTTAAAAGTAAGGTAAACCATAAACCCATCACACTATATACGTATACATATATGTCAATTTCTGTATATATACACATATATATATATATATACACATACATACACCGCATTTATATTTTACAAAATTATGACTTTATGTATAAATAATTTGACATAATTTGAGTGTTCTTTTGACATTCAACATCTACCTATATTATGAGCACTTTGCCACATTATTAAAAACTCTCCTAAAACTTTTAAAATCATGTGGAAACAACATATTGTAGCCATTCTCTCACGGGTGGATATTTATGCGTTTTCACCGTTAATGTGACGTTGAACAATTCTGTACATAAGTCTTAGCATCTCTCTGATGATTTTCTGAGGGTAGGGCCTTAGACGCAGAATTTAAGGGGTTAAATATTTCAAGGCTGATAAACACTGCCAAATTGCTCTGCAGAGCGATTCTGAATTTATTCCTATCAGCACTGTGTGACCGTGTCCATTTCTCCCTGGCCACCACTGTGTTTTAACATTTAAAAAATGATCATGAACAGTTGTATGTGTCTTATGACATGAACACTCCATTGAGGCACTGACATGGGGACTTTAAAAGCAGCAGAGCCCAAGGCTATGGTTCCTGCTTGCTTTTTCTTTTTGGCTACCCCCTGGTTCCTCAAAAGGATGTAAGGGAACAGAAGCCAGCAGTGCCCCAACCTGAGTTTACTCAGCAGGTGTCTACTTGTTTACAAATGAAGTGTTTGCAAATCACAATGGATGTTAATGAATTCTACGTAAATCTTACAGTAAAATGAGTGTGAGTAATCACGGTCTGATTATCTCTGGTAATTCATGTTTTCATATATCATTTCGCTTAAAGAATCTTGCCTGAGGATTTAATACCTATAAAAAGGAAGAGAAACTTAGAAAGACGTTACTACCTTGGAAATGAAGACCTTAAC